CAAAAATAATAAATATTGGGGTGGAAATTAATGAAATAGGGAATAGAAAAACAACAAAGAATAATCAATGAAACCAAAACCTGGCTCTTTTAAAAGATCAACAAAATTGACAAACTCTTCGTTATATTGACTGGGGAAAAAAAATGAGAAAAGACTCCAATTACTAGAATCAGCAATGAAGGGGACATTACCACTAACCTTATAGAAATGAAAAGGATTATAAAGGAAACTTTGAACAACTGCATAACAAAATTAGATAGATGAAATGGACAAATTCCTAGAGAGATACAAACTTCCAAAACTTCCTCAAGAAGAAATAGACAAGAAAGATCTATAAAAAGTGAAGAGACTGAATTAGTAATCAAAAAACTACCCACAATGTAAAGCCCAGGCCCAGAAGGCTTCTGAAGTCTACCAATTAAAGTAAGAATTGATACAAGTTTTTCAAAAACTCTTCCAAAAGATAGAAGTGGGGGGAACACTTCCCAACTCATTTGATGGGAACTGTATTACCCTGATACCAAAATCAGACAGAGATATCACAAGACAAGTAAACTACAAACCAATATATCTAATTAATATGAATGCAAAAGTCCTCAACAAAATACTAGCAAACTGAATATGGCAACACATAAAAAGAATTATATACAATGACCAACTACAACTTACCCCAGAAATTCAAGGTAGGTTTAACGTTTGAAAATCAATTAATACATTGTATCAATAGCATAAGAAACAAAAAATCACATAATAATCTCTATAGACACAGAAAGAGCATTTGACAAAATCTAATACCCTTTCATGATCAAACAAACAAACAAACATAGGAGCACGTGGGAACATTCTCAACCTGATAAAGGGGATGTGTAAACAAAAAACAGTTAACATCATACTTAATGGTGAAAGAAGTGAAAGAATGAATGCTTTTCCCCTAAGGTCATGAAAAAAACAAGGATGTCCACTCTCACTACTCAACACTGTGCTGGAAGGTCTAGCTAGGGTAATTTGGCAAAATAAATAAACAAGTAAAAGACATCTAGATTGGAAAAGAAGTGAAACTATATTTATAGATGACATTATTATGTACAAAAGAAAATCCTAGGGAATCCACTAAAAAACTATTAGAACTAATAAATGAGTTCAGGAAGGTCAAGAGACACAAAATTAACATACAAAACTCAATTGTATTTCTATACACTTGCAATGAACAATTTGAAAATGAAATTAAGAACACAATTCCATTTATAATAGCATCAAAAAGAATAAAATAGTTAGAAATAAATTTAACAAAAGAAGTGTAAAATTTATACTCTGAAAACTACAAAACAGTGTTGAAGGAAATTAAAAGATTTAAAATAAATGGGAAAATTATCCACGTTCATGCCTCAAAAGCTTAATATTAATATAGCAATACTCTCCAATGTGTTCCACAAATTCAAGGCAATCCCTATTAGAATCTCAGCTGACTTTTTGTAGAAATTGATAAACTGATTCTAAAATTCAGATGGAATTGCAAAGGACACAAAATAGCCAAAACAATCTTGAAAAAGAACAAAGTTGGAGAATTCTTACACTTCCTTCCCAATTTCAAAACTTAGTACAAAGCAATGATAAAATGTGTGGTAATGGCACAACAGAATGGACTGGCACAGTAGGAATAGAATTAAAAGTCCAAAAATAAACCCATATATCTATGGTCAGCTGATTTTCAATAGGGTGGCAAGACCATTTAATGAGGATAGAATAGTCTTTTCAACAAATGGTGCTAGGACAAATGGACATTCATATGCAAAAGAATAAAGTTGGACCCTTACCTCACAACACAGACAAAAATTAACTGAAAGTGGATCAAAGACCCAAGTATAGGAGCTAAAACTATATTTTAGTACTTCAAAGGACACCATCAAGAGAGTGAAGACAACCCACAAAACAGAAGAAAATGTTTACCATTCATGTATCTGATAAGGAATTTGTATCTAGAATTTATAATGAACTCCTATAACCTAATAATAAAAGACGACCCAAT